CCCCAAAACCCCAAAACCCCAAAACCCCAAAACCCCAAAACCCCAAATTTTGTGCATAAATTGAAATCTACTCATTGCCCATATTTTGTGGTGAAAGGAAAGTTATTAATCACATTTTATATAATCATGCTCAAGGAAATACTGTATCCTTTCCAGCATATCTGAAGGAGTGTAGTCAAAATTTAGAGAGGCTTCTTCACCCTTCATTGCTACTGAGTATAAGTCGTATGCTCTAGCTGCCTGGATCTCATTAGTGAAGGTTCCAATATACTTCTTGATTTGGTTTACATTGATAAGGGATTGCCAGTTAGCATTGTTCTTAGATACACCGATATATTTAGATCTCCTTTTGAGATTCTTTTTGGTCACACTCTTTGCTTTCTTCTTTGAAGAAACAAATACTGAGACATATTGATTGAGGATACGCCATCTCAAGCTGATGAGTTTTTGCTTGATGTCAAGCTTCTGAGATAAGTTCTTACTCTTTGTAGAAGCTGACTTCTCATCCTTCATTTCATATCTTATCTCTGACATGGCTTGACACTGGGAGGTGCTTAATCAACATTTATGCTTAAAATCCTCCATGTCAGATGAATTTTGGTGGAAATCGATTTCTTGATATTGAAGAGAAGGAGAGCAAAGATTTTCATGAGAAGATCATAGTCAATAGTCTCTAGTCTCTACTCCCCTCTCATCCAGCTGGCTCATTCAGTAGACTGAACTAAGTTCCTGAATAACATCAGAGTAGCTCCACATCGAGAGGGGAGTATAATTAGGACTGTTAGTATTAGTTGGAAAATTCATTTTTAATATTATTAAGAGCAAATGTTAACTTTTTAAATAGCATATTTCATCCCATATCTTTAGATTTTTCCTTTGGTGGCCGATTAAACCATGCTTGCTCTTGGACCTTCATATCCTCGCTTAATAACTTTATTGTGAGGTTGCTCTCAAAGCAAATGTTTATAGCAGCAGGCTTGCTTTATCTAGTTCCCCTATATCACAGATTTTTCACATAAGGGCATATAACATCAATTTTATGAAACTGTCAACCTCTGGATTGTTGTAAATTTTTAAGTTTAGAGCATCAATAAGATATCCTCTACCTCTCTTCAATTAAAATTTCATAATTAATTTGTGAGCAGCCTTTGTAGCTCAGCCAGTAAATTTTTAGAAATATTCAAATTAAGAATCTGTCTGAAAAGGTTTACTGTGTCAGTATTTCAAATTATAAACCTAAGGAGCTGCTAGCCTGCTGGATTTGAGTGCACCAAAGCTTGAAGATATCAATAAATCGGGGTTATTCTGAAGTTGCTGATGTCCAGAAAGGGTTTCATCCCAACGTTATAATATGAAATAGAATGAATTTCTGGGAGAAATTACAGTTACGATTCTTGATATTGTAGAAGGCGGATAAATCAGAAATAGAAAATGAAGATAGACAAAGCCAATTCAAGACATAAGCCTATTATTTCTTCAAGAAAAATACTCCAATAACGCTACGGTCAGGGAATGAGTATGAAAATTATCCATTGCTAAGACTAGGATCTCTTCATCAACCGAAATTCCACCGTCATTATTAATTCCTTCAACCAGGTATGCCGGGAGTTTATTAAGAATAACCGCTCAGACTTGATCAGTGCTGAAGAATAGTCAAGATTAATGATGACAACACTTGTAGATTGTTATTAGTCCCACCGTAGCCATATCCAAGTTGCTGGTCCAATCCGAACTTTCACCACTAACAGATTATTAAAATCTTTTTGAACTCAATATGATTTACCTAAATTTATTTAAAGCCAGTTTCTAAGAAAATTTTAGAGTTTTAAGGTTACTTTTACACTCTACATCGTATTTTGAAATTATTAGCAGTCTGGATGAAAGTTCTCCTCCTTTTAGTTGACAAATTAATAACTAACAAGGGTTGATAGAGATTCCGAAAATTTTATGCAGAAAGTCCTAGAGACTAGGCCTATATCATCCTGTAAACCTACAGTTCAGATGAGCAAGTAAGTGTATACCTCCGATCATCATAGAGCCTCCTTTGCACACCTGGCACAAATTCAGACCACTTTTAATAACATATTTCCTTCTGTATACGACTTTAGACCTCCACCAAAATATCAAATTCAGACTCGTTCAGAATGTTGGTTGCTGATAAATCTAGGAAATAGGACCTAGAGTGCTCTGATAAAGTGACTTCCGAAGAGTTTGGTTGTCTCTGCTCTTATCTATAGCCAGAGTTGTGCTCCCCATATCCTTCATGACTTATAAGATTGCAAAGAAGTAATAAAGCTCCCGCTTCAAAATATACATAAAGGTTTTTACAACAAGGTTTTATAGCCAGGATGCCCAATTTCAAATGTATCATTAAAGGAGCAATCTTTTTAGTAATATTGCAAGAAGCTGCTCCTAGGTTAACGGTAAAATGAGTTCCATGGAGCTATGAAGCAGAGGTTGCTAAAATTTATGATAAATTAACATTTCTGTGATAAAGAGAAGCCGAACTAATTATTACGGATTCTTGATGGGTTATTTGGCTTTCTTTGGCTAGGTTAGCCTATGTCTGGTGTGTTTCTGAGAGGTGTTAAGCCAATAAATCGCATATAATTTTTGAGAAATAATTAATTACGAGTTGGGGATATTTCTCAGACTTTAAAACGCCAGATTTAACTGAATTAATAGAGGTTCCTAACTTTGGAAAGGGTAAGGTATAGAGATTTACAAATTTATTGCATTTTGCAATAAGTTATAATAAAATTATGACCTCTCAGAGTCTCAGAGAGTAGATTTATCGACGTCCATCAGCCATATTAATTTTCTGGAATAATATTAAAAATTTGAATAAGACATCCTGATTTAGAAAATTTTCGATAAACGATGCGGATTGAGAGTAGAGAACACTCGAGATTAATAATTATAGAAACTTTAGTTACCGTATGAGATTCTTGACCTAAATTTTCCTTATCTTTTAAACACCCATCTACTTTAGCCTATAAAAAACTCTTCGCTTCTGGATAAGAGGGTTGTGAAAAATGGTAAAAACTTAACAAAATCAAGAGTCCCTAAAAGAGAATATTAGAAATGCAATTCTCTCAACGACGTGTCTACCAAAGGGGTTTTGGGGTTTTGGGGTTTTGGGGTTTTGGGGTTTTGGGGTTTTGGGG